CTGACGCGCGGGCCAGAGTTCACCCCTTTCAGGCTCTCCGAGCTAAACTGTCACACAGCGTTAAAACCGCAGGGTGGTGGCATGTGAAGCGCTGAATGCCGCGCCGGTCGTGGCTGTCAGTCAGCCCTGGAAGGGCTCCCTCGCCGCCCTCGCAGCCGCCCGGCGTGCACGGGCATTTGCAAACAGCCCATCACCTGCTCACACACCGCGCTGGTGGGACCGTCAAGATGCTCGCTGGGCGAGCGTGCCATGCGGTTCTCCCCAGTGTGCCACGGCCGAGCCGGGATGTGCCCGGGCACCCTGCACCTCCCAGCCCCACGGTGGGACAGTTTCTCACGCGGGTGCTCGCCCATCACTGCGTGAACAGCAGCGACAGTGGCTGTACCACCCCGTTCTGCCGCAGTAGCTGCCTCTGGCCGTGGTCTGGCACGTGGGACCCATGGCTGCCGTCCCAAGCGGGGCTGCGGCAGCCGGCTCGGCCCTGCTGGCACACACCAGCTGCCAGCTCCATGCACCCGCCGCCCCGGGCACTGCTGGCTCCAGCCCGCAGCGTGCCGCTCTGGGAACTCTCTGTACAGACTCCCCAGCAGCCACAAAGCCGGATCAGCCTCTCCCACGCCCCCCCACCTCGCCGGGGCACTGAACCTTTCTTTAGGCAGATAAGCTGCCCAGCTCTGCTTCCTCCACACGTGCTGGGACCCCAAAACCCCCCTCCCTGTGCCGTGCTGCTGCCCTGGGACACGGAGCCCAGTGGCTGTGGGCAGGTCCTCGCCTCGCCCCGGCGAAATCCCGATGCGTGCCGGCCAAGGGCAGCACTGCCCCGCGGTAACGCACCCGCGTCTCTGTGCCATCAACCGGCACGGCATGGTCTGCGCGGGGGGCTGGCGTCGGCTGGGCTGGTGAATCCACCCCTGTCCTTCCTGCAGGTCCTGGGGGTGCGAGCGGGGCGATGGTGCTGCTTGCCTGGGAGCCTGACCCAGGGCTGCAGCCAGCGTGTCGCCCGTCCTGCTGGGCACCAGGCAGCTTTGCAAGCTGGGGCATTGCTGGGTGCAGGGCCAGCGTGTCAGCGGTGTGGATGGCGGTAGCGCCGAGCAGCCTCAGGATGCTCCAAGCCGTGCAGCCGCTGGTGGGGCTGCGCGGGCAGCGTGGTGCGGGGAATTGTGCCTCCCTCCTGAGGCACTGCGTCGCTGCTGTCAGGCAGCTCCAAATCCGTTTGTTCCGGCTGTCATGTCCCAGGGCATAGCCGGCACAGCCCACTGTGCCTGGTGGCTGTCCCGGGCCAGCAGCCGAGCTGGGGCTGGGGGCTGTTCTGGATCCACCTGCAACATGCCGGGGCAGGCTGCAGCTGCAGGGACCCTCGCGGCTGTTCCCACTGCAGGCACCTGCAGCACCCAGTGTGCAGGCATCCCTGCACTGGTTTGGGGTTTGCTCATTGTCTTGTGTCTCTTGGCATGTCCCCAGGACTCGGGCGGCCAGTACTGCCTGTGCAGGCATGCCACCGCACTGTGTCTAGGACAGGCTGGCAGCAATAGCCCACACTCCATCCCTGCCAGCCCGGACTGGGTTTTGGGCACTGTTGCTGGAAGAGCATTTCCCACCGCAGACGCTGTGGTCAGGCCATCCCATGCCGTCATCTGCCACCCGCCTGTGGCGGCATCCTCCAGCTCCCCAGTGGCACAGCTTCACCATGCTCAGGCTCTGGCAGCAGGGCTGGCACCATGCGCCACGAACATTGCAGTCCTGGCCCGCAATGAGGGCTCACCCATGGGGCACATGGGGCCACCGGTGCAGGGCAGGAGGGCTGCAGGACCGTGGGTGATGGTCCATGGGTGATTGCACTGGTCTGCACTGGAGCTGCCATGACCCCATGTGCCTCGGTGCCCCTGGCCACACCGTCCCGCTGCCTCCCCAGACGCTCACCTGGCCCCAGGGGAGGAGGGAGCTGACACGCAGCCTGTGGCTTGGCCAGCCGGTGATGGGCACCGGCACCAGCTCCAGGGACAAGTGGCCACGGCTGTGGGGTGCATGGGGCCACGGGGTCCCACCACAGCAGAGGGCATCACGCACACAGGGTCTGCAGTGAGCGCACATGCCCGGGGGCATCTCTGATGGCCCAGAGCTGATGAGAGACTGCCACTCTCCCCTTCCAACATGGTGGAATACAGTCCTTTTTCTGTATTTACTCAGGTTTTGGGATGTGAACAAACATCCGTCTCTTCTTGACTCTCTTCTCAGTGAGCATCCCCCAGTGTTGGGTACACTTAATCCCTGGGGAGCTCATCCCTTCCTGCAGCCCCTTTCTCAGGCGCTTTTGTTCAGCTCTGGACTCTGCAGCCGAGGACAAACTGCATTTTGCCCCATGCCCCCGCTTGCCCCGTGCCCCAGGCCCCCCCACTGTTGTGCTGCGCTCACGCCTGCTCCCCTGCTCACCCAGCAGTGGGTCTCGCTCCCACCCCGGGAACCTGGCTTGTGCCTATGGGAGGCAAAGCCTTGCCAGGACGCGGCCACGCACCCTCTTGCAATTTGCTGCTTTTTCTGGCAAGGTTTCTGACCAGAGCCCTGCCTGCTGCTCCTTCCTCAGCAGCTGCATCGGTTGCCGCTTCCTCCCAGTGACCCCCAGTCCCGTCCAGCCCCAAGCGCTGGGCACGCTGCTGTTCCTGCTCAGCCACGTTACCAGCACCTTGTCAGGGGCTGCCGCCGGGGCTGGCCAGGGCAGCATCGCTGCGTCACTTCTGCATCAAATCGGTTTTATCTCCCATTTACTGAGTCCGTGGTCCTCAGCCATTTCCCCTCCCAGGCAGAGCCTGTGCACAACATCTCGGACACGTGGTCGACCTGTCCTTGCTCAGATCTTGTGCTCATCACCATCCTCATGGCACCACCGTAACCCATGTTCATGCTTTACCTCCTGCTCCCGCAGCCTTTCTGGCAGCACCTGCACTCTCGTTCCCACGCCTCCGCAGCCACCCTCGCTGCACCCTGGCTAAAACGAACCAGGGGTCTGCTCGCTCCTGAGCACCGGGCTCCCTTGCTCCTCTGATGGAAGCCTCAGAGCTGGCTGTGTCTCCCCTTCCTCCCCTCCCCACGCATGTTTCTGCAGCCCTTTGTGCTGGATGCGGCCCCTTGCCGCCGGCTGGAGCCCGGCCCAGACCCTGCTGCTCGCTGCAGCACGTCCATCACCCGCTCTGGCCTCCTCCAGCCTCTCCAGGGCTCCGGCCGCTGGCACCACACGCTTTCCCATTTCCCTCTGTGGGATTCCCAGTGGCATCTGCAGCATCACAGGCTGCTCCCCCTCGTTATGCTCAGCCAGGTGACCTGGCGAAGTGTTACCAGGGTTAATGACAGGTTCATTGCAGGGCTCCCAGGACTGTGTGGGAGTGTGCGCATCTCCCTCAGCCTTTGGTTATAGGCACGGTGCGATCCCTCCTGCAAACCCAGCTTCTCTGCCAGGGCATGGAGCAGCCACTGTTATCTTCATCCTTGCCATCTCCATGCCCGTGCAGAGAGGCATTGCACCTAGGCTTGTTTTTACATGGCACCTCCTTCCACTTGTCGCAGCAAAGCAGCTGAGCTCACAGCACTGGAGCCTGGAACGGCCACAGGCTCTGCACAAGGTGTGCGGGCTCTGAGCCAGCAGAGCCAGGGCCCTGGGAAGCCTCCAATGGCGCAGGCAGCCGATGGCAGCGGGAAGCACAGCTGGAGGTGACCTTGGGGACATCTTCCGCAGACAGCAGTTCCTGGGCTGGCAGAGCTCAAGCAGCTGCCTCTCCCCGCAGCGCGGTGATCTGCAGCAAGAGAAGGGCTCGTATGGCTGATAAAGTGTTATCTTTACCACCATGGCTGCGTCCTCCTGGCCCTTCTGGTGCTGACACAGAAGCAAAGGAGGTTTCTGCTGGGAGACACTGGTCCCTGTGGGAGCTGGCGGGGGGAGGCAGGGGCACTGTGTCTCCCCAAGCTGGGCTGTACCCTGAGGTGCATTTTGGGGAAGGGAGAGTGGGGGGGAGACGGTGCAGCTCAGAGGGTGCCATGGGGGGGCTGCTCCTCCTGCACATGGTGGCTTTGGTCCCGCCAGCTCCACATGGCACCCATGCCGTGGCCGGACCTCCTCGAGGTGCCCCAGCTCAGTTCTGCTCGCATCGCAGCCCTGAGTGGGCTGAGCCCGGCTGCCGGTGCCTGTGGGCGGCAGCTCCCACCATACCTGCAGGGTCTCAGCAAACCGTGGTGAATGGCCTTGGCATGCCACGCTCCCCACAGCACTCCGTTAACGTGGCTCCTTGTTTGCCCCGGCACGTGCAGGAGCGGGACAGCGCATTGCACGCAGACACGCGTTCCCAGAAACGTGCCGCGGGGCCATGTGTACAGTCTGTGCGTGGCCACGTGCCACAGATTGCGTGGGCTTCTTCGAGGTGCTGGCTGCCGTGGTTTGAGGGGCACTGCCCGTCCCCGCGCCTTTTCTTCTTGTCCGAGATGCCGTTGCTCCGTGCCTCTGCAGTGGGCTGGCTCCACCGTCCAGGGTGCCCTGAGGGTGTGCAGGGTGCCCAGGGATGATTCGGGTTCAACTCCCTATGCTGGAAAAGCCCCAAAACCAGGATGATCATCTCCTGCCACCCTCCATGTCCTGCCTGCCCAAGCCCTGCTGCCTCCAGCAGATACTGCCTGCCCGCAGCAAAGGCACTGGCCATTCCAGGGCAGAGGGGACTGATCCTGTGCATGGGGCTGGGGAAATGGGGTGGTTGTGGGGATGGTGGAAGTATGAGGTGGGTGAGCAGCAGAGCCCCTGGCCGAGCTGGGAAGCGCTGTGGGTCAGATTGCCATGGCTTGGTTTAGGCTCAGCCAGGCGCCAGATCGTGGGCTCTGCAGTGCATGACCTGGCGATGGGTGGATGTAGGGACATTGGGGACCAGCGACCAAAATGAGCCGAAGGGGCCGGCAGGTGTAGATCTGGGAACAATCCTGGGTAAAAAAGAGTTGGGAAATTCAGGAGCACTGCGGGAACCACCATGTTGAGCGGTGCTCGTCCCGGCAGAGGAGACCGAGACGAGCAGAGCCAAAACCCGCAGGTACCGGTGACAGCTGGTGGGTGAGGGCCACAAGGCTGGAGAGGACGATGGAGGTCGGGGGTCCCAGCCAAGGGTGCTCTGCCCTGGCTGGTGAGGATGGACCGGCGGCTGCCCCTCTGGAAGGAGGGCAGTCCCTGGGGGGACACACAATGACACCCTGAGCCATCTGCACTGGTGTGCCGGGGGGAGGCTGGTGGAGCCTCTTCCTCCTGCCCCTTTGCCAAGTCCCAACACCCCGTCCCCATCCGTCCCTCTGCTCTCCTTGCAGAAGTGCTGTGCTGCAGATGATGCCGGTCTCTCTGGGAAGAGCGTGGAGGGGTCATCGCCGGATGGGGAGGAGTTGGAGAGGTACGGGCACCGCTGGGTGCAGCGGGACGAGCCGAGGTGCCTTGTCAGGGCGGGTCATGGCCGGGGACTGCATGGGTGTGCATGGGCATCCGCACCACAACGAGGGGAGCTGGGGTGAATCCTGCACCGCCCTGGGGGTCTGGGTCAGCCGCTGGGACAGGGAGAGTGCGGGTCAGCTGCTCGGGCAAGAAATGTCCCCCCCTGGGGCAAGCTGGGATGGGACCAAGCGCAGCTGCAAGTGCTGGGTGCAGGCATGGGGAGCCCGCAGCTGTGGGGACAGCACTGGGTTTATCTCGCCAACGGCATGGACTCAGAGAGAGGTACCGGCAGCGAACCTGGCTGAGGCCATCAGCCCCAGGATTGCTCCCTTTGCAGGGCATCCCCTGCCAAGGGGCACGCGTGGCTGGGGACGGCTCAGGGGACGCCTGCCTGGTGGTGTGCAGGGATGCACCGGCGCGTGGGCAAGGCAGGGGGAGATGTGGCTGAGCCGGCATTGGCCACGCCGGTGCGATGGAATGCAAGGCCAGTTATGGGGAGTCTACGAGGGGTGTCCGGAGTCTGCCGGGAGCGGAGCCGTGGAGCTGCCTGCCCTGGCATCCACATTGACTGGCCAGTTGGGTGTATGGGGTGTTCATGAGTGTGGGTCACATTTGGGGTCCTTATGTCCCTGGTCCGCAGTCTCGTAGAGCCATTCTTTCCCTGGAGCAGCATGGGGGAGAGGTGGGTGCCATGGGCAGAGAGGTGCTGGCAGCCCCAGGCACCGTTTCATCCCTTTCCCACGCAAGAGCAGTCGAGAGGGTCCCGGGCAAAGACGCCCCTTGGCAGAGATCAGGGCAGGACAGGCGGCAAAGGTCAAGTCTCAGCGCGGTGCTGGGCAGGGGAGGCAGCGGCCGTGTGACCCCACAGCCTAGTGCATCCCTGCTCTCTTCCCAGAGTGTGGCAGCGGGGTGAGCGGACGGAGCGGAGGCTGGAAGTGCACGAGCAGCTGCTGGCCCTGCGGCACTGGCTGGACGCTGTGGAGAAGAGGCTGCCTGCCCTGCCGGAGCCCGGCCATGCCCTGCAGGTAATGGGCTCGCCCCGGGTGTGCGGCAGCCGGCAGAACCGCTCAGAGCCAGGCAGGACCCAGCCCACGTCTCCACCGAGGCTGGTGAGGTCTTGGTCCCCATAAAGGGAGGATGGCGCTTGGCCGTGGCCAGCTGGGAAACCCTTTGGCACGGCCCCACAAAACTGCTGGTGACACCCACGGGCCAGGCAGGGTCCCGTGTCCCTGGTTGCTGCTTCCCAGCCTGACAGTGCTCCCCCAGTCCGTGGCCCAGGCGTGCCTCTGTCCCCCGCTGATACCACCATCGGCTGCCGTGGGCTTGGAGCCTGCGGTACCTGTGGCCCTGCCCATACTTGTGGCATTGCTGCCTTGGAGCCCCGCTGGTGGCAGGACCACCTTCTGCTCTGGGCTCACCCACGTCCCATGGCTCCACCGCCCCGGGCGGTGCATGCAGCCATGTATGGGGTCTGTGCAGCTGTGCATGGGGTGTGCAGCCATGCAAGGTGTGTGCATCTGTGTCCCTGCCCAGGCGAGGGGTGTGCAGCCATATGAGGGGTGTGCAGCCGTGCACAGGGTGTGCAGCCATGCACAGCGTGCAGCCATGTCCCCCTGCCCAGGCAAGGGGTGTGCAGCCACGCACGGGGCCGTGCACGGGATGTGCAGCTGTGCACGGGGCGTGCAGCCATGCAAGGTGTGTGCAGCCATGTCCCTGCCCAGGCGAGGGGTGTGCAGCTACACGAGGGGTGTCCCCGCTGCCCAGACCTTGCATGCCCCTCAGGTCACCACCCCCCTGCAAGGAGCCGGGAGAGCACTAGCATGTCCTTGCCTCAGCCTCCGGCCGGCACAAGCCACCGGCTCCCACCACCCCGTCCGCGCGGAGCAGCAGCGGGAGCACCCGCAGCGGGGGCTGCCCTGTCCGGCCCCTCCTCGCCGCCCCGCGAACAGTCCCTCGCCGGCTCCTTTTGTTCCGGGCCTGGCCAGCACACGGGCTCCCTCCGCACACATGACAGCACAAACTGAAAGGGCCATTCATCCCGGCCTCGGCGCAGACAAAGCCGAGGCCGAGGAGAAACCCACCCGGCTCCCGGGATCTGAGGCTGCGGATTCCAGCCGACCGCTCTCGCCCAGTGCCCCGCGCTGGGCTCCCTCTGCCCGGGGCGCCCGCGCCACCCCCAGCCCCGTACCTGGGGCTGCGGAGCGTGCCAGGCGAGCTCCCGGCAGGCGCGTGGGGCGGAAGGCAGCGAGTCGCTGCGTCGAAGGAGCCGGCTCGTTGCCCCCTGCCCAGCCCCTGCCACGTGGGGTCCCGGCCGGGTGCTGTGGGGTGCCATGCTGATGCAGTAGCTGAGCCTGGGGGTCCTAAGCCTCGTGCGTTGCCCCCCGTGGGGTGGCAGGGAGGAGGGTGGGAGCTGCGTTGCTGGAGGTGGTGGACTGAGCCATGGGGCTCGGGTGGTGGGCTCGGGTGGGTGAGGGGAGCAGCCCCCCCCTCCAGGCCAGCCCCTCTTTGTGGAGCTTAGTGGGGCAGCATCTTCCCCGGCACGGAGGCAACTGGGAGCGCCCAGGTGCTCAGCACCATCAGCCAGGCCCAGGTCCTGCCTGCTTGGCCCAGTTCAGCTGGGGACCCCCAGAACCCCCCCGAGGGAGCCCGTGGCTCGGCAGGGCGCCCACGCACAGATCCAGCGCCGGGTGCTGAGCTCCTCGCTGCCGCTGGCGGGAAGGCGCCAAAGCCAAGCGGGGAAGATGGTGTGGTGCCGCAGGAGAGCCTGGGTTATGCTAATTCCCTGCAGCGTCTCTGGCAGCCGAGCAGACAAAGCCCCCCGGCCCCTCCGCCCGCTGCTTTCAGGAGATCCCATGGGAGCCCCATCCATCAAGGCAGCGCGACGCTCCTTGCAGCGGCCCCCCGCGCTCCCCGGGGCCCGGCGAGGGGCACCCGCTCCTTTGTGAGGGGCAGGACCCCCCTCCATCCCGGGGGCTGCTGTGCCGGAGCTGGGGCCAGGCAGGCCGAGGATGGGGCTCGTGCCACGTGCACCCCAGGCAGGAGCAGAGCCCCACCCTGGCACCTCTGGCAGCCCCTTGCCCCCCCAACACGAGTCCCTCCTGCATCCAGGACAGGGGCAGGAGGGGGTCCCTGTGCTCCATGCCCGGAGGACCAGGGCTCTCAGGGGCAGGCGGGCGGTGGGCTTTGCTGTAGCATCTCTGCAGCCCAGGCCAGCCGCCCCATCCCTGCCCCGCTCCGCTGAGACTGGCTGAGGACCCCCTGCGCCTGCAAAACCTCTGGGGAGCGGGGCTGTACCCCCAACGTGACCACAGCAGCGCCATGATCCGGGGGGGGAGCGGGAGCCGGGGTGGGATGGGGGAGTCAGTGCACCCCGGAGGGGTGCAAGTGCAGAGCTGGAGGGGCTGTGCCGGCGTGGGGCTGTGCTGCTATGGGGCTGGGGGTGCAGGCACGCAGGGGATGCGGTGCGTGCACGGCTGCGGGGCAGGCACAGCCCGGGTCAGGGACGGATCCTGGCCTCCCGGTGCCGGTGCGGGGGCAGGTGCGGGCGGTGGCAGGTTGGGGGGGGGGGGTGCCCGGGCTGCCCCCCCCGGGGTCAGCGCCGTGCGGGACGGGCGGTGGGAACGGCACCGCTCCCCTCCCCCCGCCCAGGATGGCTGCGAGTCCCCGGGGGTTTCCCCGGTAACGGCGCCGTTCAGCGAGCAAAGAGTTAACGCGGGCGGCCGTATTGTATCGGCGGGGGGTGTATGTGTGTGTGTGTGTGTG